CTCTTCACTCCACACATATTCTTTACCATTCATCCACGCTTTCCCAAAGCCCACTTTTACTCGCCTACCTCTCTCTTTCTCTCTCTTCGCCCAAAATCTAATCTCCTTCTGTCTTTCTCTTTCATCCTTCGTTAGATCATCGTCTACATATATTTTCGTACCTGTCAATTTATTTCTCCTAATCATGATCTCCTTTTTATCATCCAAACTATTAAGTTTCACAAGCAGCACACTCTCATTCGTTCTATCATTCATTCTATCATTCATTCTATTCCCTATCTTGTAAACTTCTCTTATTTTAATTTCTTTATCTAACCCCCCTAATTTTTTCAAAACCCCTACAGCAGCATCTTTCATATTTCCCCCCTCTACCTCTACACCCCGCATAACTACATTTAGTCTTCTATCTCTTCTTTCTTGATCATCTCTTCTTTTTTCTATTTCTTCCACTCTTTTCTTCAAATCTGCATTTTCTTCTTTCAACTTCTCCATCTTTTCCCTTTCCTCCTCCTTAAATTTCTCAAATTCTGTTTTTATTTGCTTCATCTCTTCTTTTAATTCTCTTCTTATCATCTTCATCATATCATCCTTATGCCGCTGCAGTTGTCTCTCCATCATTTTTTCTATCTCCTCTAAATTCGCCATTTTCTTCTCCTCTGAATCTCCCTGCTGTTCTGGCGATTTTCCTGCCTTTCCTTCCTTCTTTCGTTTCGCGGCTTGCTGTTCGTCTTCACTTTCTTCCGACTCACGCGCTCTGCCCCTTCTCGAGAACCACGAGCTTGGAATGCTCACTACACTACTATCCCTCCTTTCCTTTCCTAGCAGCTCCGCTTTCGTGGGCCTTCCTCTCTTCCCCGCTCCCTTCTCTCCACTCGTATTTCGCCTCTGACGTTCACCGCCGTTGCCTTCCTTCGATCTTGTTCCCCACTCCTCCCCTGACTGTACCCACCTTTCCGCTCGGCTACTTCTAGACTCTTCCGTTGCTAGGCAGGTTCCTTCTCTCTCTTTCTCCAAACTCTCGCTCATTCCCCCCTCCCGAGACGCGCTCGCGCTTCGTGACGTTCTGCTTTCCTTCCGTCACTTCCCTTTTCTTCGCACTTGCGCACCTCGGTTTTTCTGCCACGTGCGCCGGGCCTAATTACTTTTTCCCTTCCGACTTATGCAAGGCTCACCCACTGCACTCCTGTCCCCTAATGACCACTCCTTATCTTATGCACCCAATACAGGCTTTCAGGCTACCTGGACCACGATGCTCTCGGTTGAAGACCTATGCCAGTTGTAGGTTATGTTCCCCTTGTTCCGTCTACTTTAACCACCATTAGCCCGTTTCCTGATGAAGCGAGCTACTTTTTTGCCTAGCTCTCGATTTAACGACTCTCGTCCCTATAACAAAAACTCCCCGCAGGGCAATTCCTTAACAGCTACGAAATCTTTAATTTCCTCACGAAGTGCGCAAAATATGTCTTCTCTGTAACTCACCTCGACCGGAAGTCTAGGTCATTCAAAGTTACGCAAAGTTAATAACAGAAAATAATTGAATATAATGAAAAATAAATTATTTCAAGGCACTCTTCGAATAATTTCATGTCTTTTCTTCTTATTGATATACTGCTAATTGTTCAAGTATATTACGATATGTAAATAAACATTGAAAATTTATTTAAACATAACAAGGTTAGCTGTAATTGAAAATAAATTGTTTAAAGGCATTTTTCGAATATTTCACTAATTTACATATTTGCGTACTTACCGTTACAACAAGTAACAAGTTCAAAATGATCCTGAATATCGACGTATTTTCTGAAACGTGTTAACACAGATAATACTGTACGACAAATTTCATTCGAATCAATCGCAACGTAAGCTCTTCTTATGCGATCCTTTATATCTTCTTTTGTTATCGGCGTTTCGCTGTACTCTTATTGTTTTAACTTTCCCCACAAATAAAAATCCATAAATGTTAAATCTGGGAAACGTGCGGCCCATCTGTTATTTCCTGACCGACCAATCCAACGATCTCCAAACTTTCTGTTTAGCAATTCAGTAATAATCTGTGCAGAATGAGCAGGACATCCATCTTGCTGGTACCACATTGATTGTCGTACGTTTAGTGGAAGATCTTCTAATAGTGGCAATATTTCTGTGCATACTTGCAACTATTTAATGGTCCATCGATAAAATAAGAACCAATTATTTTATCATTAAGAATTCCGGCTCAGACATTTATAGACCAAGGTCTCTGCCTGTTTCACTTCTCTCATCCAATGTGGGTTTTCTACTGACCAATAGTGCATGTCGCGAAGATTTACTTGTCCATTGTTTGTAAATGTAGCTTCGTCAGTAAATAAAATTTTAGTGACAAACATGTCATCTTCTTGTAGTCTTTGAAATGTCCATTCACAGAATTGTACACGATTTTGAAAATAATTACCATGTATAATAACTCTTGATGAAGTGAAATATGAAAGGAATGAAATTTAGTTGAAATGGAGTATTCGTAGAACGCTTCGTCGATTAATACCACTTTCATATTTAAGTTGTTTTATACTGATATGTGGATTTAGTGCTACAGCGGTTAAAATGTTCGTTGAATTTCCGTCGTTAGTTGCTTTCTTGATTCGTTTGCGTTTTTTATTATCCGCACTTCCTGTTTTGTGAAAAGTTTATACTATATTTGAAAAAAAAAAAACAGATAATGAGGGATGGACACGATCGGGAAATCTTTCAGCATACAAACGTACTGCTTCTCTCGTAATTTGGCGACATTCACATAGACGAAAATCATATCGATTTTTTCCGCTTTTGTATAATGCATTTTGCAAGACATACACTTTGATCGATAGATGAATTCAAACTAATCAATAAATATGGATAATGCTATGTGCGATTCAATTTAAACGATATGTAAATACATTTGAACGATTAGTATATCAACAAGAAGAGAAGACATGAAATTATTCGAAGAGTGCCTTGAAACAATTTATTTTCCATTGCATTAAATTATTTTCCATTATTGATCTTGCATAACCTTGAATGATCTTCAATTGTAGGTCATTATACCCGTCTTATAATGCTCTATCAGAATGTAAGTAAAAAAACATATTATTCCATTTAAAAAGACAGATTTGACGTTTGCCTATCCTTTACGCCTCCACCTACAAAATAATTAATATTACATTACGTACTCTTTGAAGCCAAGTAACTTTTGTTTGACACTTTTTCTTCTATTGTTAAAAACAAGCGAGTTATTCAGGTGACCTGTTTTAAATACCCTTCCCTGTATATGTATTATATGTATGTATATATATATGTACATACACTCACACGCAAAAAAACGTTCCACTTAAATTTTAGCATTAATTTTTAATATTTTTAAATAACAATAACTCAGTGAAAAATCACCGTAGCGAGATGTTTAAAAAAGTTTTATAAAGCTTGATATTTCTATTTTTCAGAACGGTACTTCAAAAAACGGTCTTGCCGATACTTCATGAAGATACACAAACATAAATGAAGATGTGTCTAACCTCAAAATTTTTTTAAAATTTGAGAAGTTCCATGGCACGAATGAAAAATTATTCACAAATGCTGTTAGAGCTTTCAAACGACTGAATCTTTATCTTTAATTTGCTTTTTTGTTAAGCTGTGTACCATTCTCTTTCATCGAGTTATTCAGTTGAAGCAAATCATTTTTACTTCAACGTTGAATAAGTTTTTTTAAACATCTCGCTACGATGATTTTTCACTGAATTATTGTTATTTGAAGACATTAAAAATTAGTGCTAAAATTTGCCCGTTTTAAAAAGTGGCCCGTTTTTTTTGCGTGTGAGTTTATATAGAGTGTTTGCAAAATAATGATAAATTTTTCGCATAGGGGCAAAATGGACTAAACTGAGAGAAAAAGTTCTTTACCATTTTGCAATTTTCGTAACAAAATATTAATTGTTAAAAATTGCCGAAAATTGGTCTCCAATAATTTTTTACTCAAATACTATTAATTTTACAGAAAAACTGTAAGAGATAAAAATTGTTAATTTTTTTCTCATAGAACTCTACAAATTTTTTTAGAATTTTTTAATACCGTATTGTTTCATGTGGGAGTGAAAGGGGTTGGAGAGAAATAGGAGGAGAAAAGGAGGGTGGAGAAGAAAAGGGGGAGACGGGAGGGGGGAGAAGGAGGAGGAGGAGGAGGAGGAGGAGGAGGAAGTAAGAATATTTTTACATTTTTTTTTAATATCGGCGGTTTTTTTATCGCGTTATAATACTACGAATTTTGGGATAGGTGCGGGCGACAGCGGCGGTGGCGGTAAAATGAAATGCGGAACGCATAGCAGATCGTCATCACACGTATTATGTTTAATCCATCGGCCGGGGTCTTATGTTTACATAAACAGTGATAACCGAGGTCCTATGTTTATGTAAACAACGATACCATCGATCAGGGACTTTCCCCGCGATAGTTCTCCCGCGCCTATGAGCATCCCTCTGCACATTCGCGCTTTCTTAAATTCCTGGCTTAAAACCGGCTATATATATAGTATATCAATTTTAGCCTTTTTTCGTCCTTGTTATCGTGACGTAATGAGAAAACTTTCATTATTTATTGAATATAAAATATTTCCCATATAAATTTTATATCAAAAATAGTGGATAAATAAAACAGATATTTATATTAATATTTTATTATTTTTTAATTACGTCATACTTTATTTTATTTTATTTTTAAACCAAATTTCAGTTCTCTACACATGCGTTTCGAGAATATGAGAAAAACAATATAATTGCAGAAAGTGTTCAATTATCGTGAGGAAGTAATTGTATGAGGATTTACGAATTTTCTATAAATTTGAATATAATTCTCTCAAAGCATAATTTCTTTTCTACGTGATTCCAAATACTAAATAAAAACTCTACATGAATCAAATTGGAGGTAGCCAGTCTAAAGAATAATGTTACTGTTTAGGAATCCCTATTTTTCAATTCAAACTTTGATTTTCTAGGCTTACTGCAATACGGAAAAATACAGTCGCAAAGATCATTGCTTTTGAAACATAAATCGGATTTATGCAAACGCGGATCTTTGTCTACAACTTGCTTCCGGGCTGGCGACGGACGTCTAAGTGAGCAACCTGCTCTTACGTCCCTGCACATCGTCTTTCTAAGATTGCACAATAGAATAGCCACGGAATTATCAGCCTTGAATTCCCATTGGAGTGACGAGAAACTTTTTCAAGAAGCACGAAGAATCGTTGGCGCAATAGTCCAACATATAACTTATCGAGAATTTCTGCCGATCATTCTTGGTAAGACAATTAAATAGTTATTTTCAATTTAATAGTTATTGTATTCACTCGAAGATAATATTATTAATATTATCGATAGTGTCATAAAGCCTAAAAATTGATAAAGCGTTCTAAAATAAAAGCACTAATAACGTTTCTCAGGTCCTCAAGTGATGAAAATCTTTGATTTGGAAGTTCATAAAAAAGGTTATTACAAAGGGTACGATCCGACAGTAAATCCCACCATTGCAAATTCATTTTCTACAGCAGCTTATCGATTCGGACACTCACTGATCCAGCGAAGTTTTATTAGATTTGACAGCAATCACAAACCCATTTTTAATAGTAAATAAAATATAGATATTAAATATTATTATTAAATGTAAATATTTGAAGTATTATCCTTATATTATTATTGTTTCATATTATAGAAATAAAAAAAGAACATTATTTTAAAAATACTTTACAAATTTTAGGCGGTATAATTCTTAATTTCAGAAAAAAATAGTCATTTCTATTTGTAATTTTATAATGTAATATAAAAAACATAAAGGATCAAAATACATACTTATGTACAATATATGAAGTATATTTTAGAATGCAAGACATACGAAATAATAAATAAAATTTTATTTTGAAATCTAACATAAATTACAGATCATCTAAGATAGGGCTTGGCAAGATTTACACTTCTCGACTGATTTTCGATTCGGCTCCGTTTCCCGCTATTCCCCTCACCTATCACCCTGCGCGCAATCCAAATACCACTCGGCGCTTAGGAGCGTATAACGTATGTATAAATGAGGTGCACTCGCTTTGGGCGCTCACGCTATAAACTTCATTCTATCTTTTTTTTCACTTATTATATAATTAAGACAGAATGAAGCAACGTGTAAGCGCTCAAAGCGAATATCCAATGAATTTTTAATAGTTTTCCACGTCATTCTTGAGGTACTATTGTTGACGCGTTTTTTCAAAGGGTATCCCCAGGGCCTAGTCCACTGATAAAAATGATGAATTATATGACCAAGTAATTAAACACAAACGAAATGAAATGAAAAATACTTATTCTGATTTTTGGAATCTTTTATTGGCAAGATCAGAAACATCGATTTGCATATCACACATAGCGAGCCGTATAAGATGAGGCAAAGATTCATCAAGGAAGAACGTCTTTCATCTTTTATAAATTTCATTTTCGGAAAGGATGTCTGACATAAATATGTAGATCCAAACATGGAATGAATTCGAAGTCCGAAATTACGAAGCTTGGGGTATAATGATTTTTTCAACACTTTGTAAAAATTGGCAGTTTCTTTAACCGTTTTAAGTGAAATATCGTTCTGCAAATCACATAATTCATCTTGCAAATCAATATGCTATCCTTCAATTGATATTGCAAGAGGATTCTCAAAAAGAATTAATTCAATTCTGAGTTTCTCGAAGCAAGTAAATCGTGTATCGAATTCATCTATAAGAGAATCTAGAAAATGAATATATTCTTTGAAATTGCAATTATGTATTGTCATGTTCTTCGAGAAGAACTTGGCAAGAAGGAAAAAAGTGAAAAATATTATCATTTAAGTGAGATTTTGATAACTGCAATTTTCTTTGGAAAAAATCAATGTGACGAACTAATTGGGAAATATTTTCCTTTGCAGCTTTAAAAAGTCTAAGTTGATTATATAAATAAATAAATAAATAAATA